ATATATATATATATATATATATATATATATATATATATATATATATATATATATATATATAGTGGAGGATACAGGACTCCTTTCCCTTGATGTATAATACTGTGTAAATATTGTTTTTGCAAAGAAAATCTCATGTGTATTTATTTCCTGTGATGCCGTTTGTATTCTTTATTTTATTTCCATGTATAGAATGCTGTATCATTTTTTTTAGACATAAGCCTTTTATTCATTTATTATGAACATTTTTTTTTAGAAATACAGACCACCTTGAGGCATGTTGCTCTGTACATTCAATATTTTCAGGTTTGTACTTTTCTGCTGTAATACAATCTGTTGTATAAAAGGTATATTTATTAAGAGCAGGCTAAGCTCTTCAAAAGTGCGCTCCAATTTCTCAACTATGTTTTACTGCTGAACTGTTACAATAAATTTGGAGAAAGGCAACACTAGCTGGTGTGTTTTGTGAGACGTAACAAACTTAAAGGAGCTATGTCATATTTTCACCAATTACATCATTGTCATTTACCCATCAAAGGTTCAATGAAAACCAAAGATACATTCTAAGCTTCTTGAAAAGGGATCACATGCTAAGGGAAAACAGACTTTAAACTTCATGGCATTATATATTTACCACCCAAGAAAATGGTAATGGAGGCAAAATCAACAGGTCCATTTCAAGCCTTTAAGGTGAAAATTAATATTGTTTAACCAGAAAAACACAAAAAAGAAAGAAGGCAGATAGAATAGTTTTATTGATAAAACAAAATGCTTATGACATCCTCTCTCCAAAGTTACATTAAGTAACTAAACAATTAATTTCCAAAGTTCTTTCTTGCATCATATTGAATATCATATTTGAACTGAATAAGTCATGTGAATTACTTCTGTATAAGATTTACAAGACTTTTGTTGTTAATACTTAGGCTATTTTAATCTGTAAAGTATTTTTGTTACACATAATTATTATATTAAAGGAAAATTTTCTTCAGCCTGTATTTGTTATTTTGTAATCATGCTTTTTATTTGTATTTTTTTAATACCTGAATTTGCACCTACAGAAACTGTGTGTTTGTTGGAAACTCTTCTAAAATGTGATGTCATGACCTTTTGGTCCATCACAGGTGAGCCTATGCTGGACTGGTGGTCTGTCCCAGTTATACAGAGTTGGATGGGTGGATGGATAGTTACAGTAATAGTACTTGAATGGCCTTTTTCTACTGTTTAAATGATTACTTGGATCACTACATTTTTCTCTCAGGTATTTTTTTTTTTTTTTTGTAAAAAATCTTACCACCTTCATTTATAATGTAAAACATGGATAGGCCTATGTGAGCTACTATTGCTTTTCTCACTTGTGGTCATGAAAAGAATTGAATAATGGATAAAATACTCTCAAGTGGAATGTTCTAACATATTTAACATTTTAATTTTCTATATGTAAACAGTTACCTGACAACAAAAACCCTGTGGTTAATTTTGCACATCCATATACTGATATCAAAGATAAATACAGAATTCATGCTCTTTTCAGAACTAGATTTCTGCTGAATGATTATTAATAAAAGTGGGTTAGTAAGGACAATGAATAAGATGTTTGCCCCAGACCTCAAAACTGAAAGAATTTTGTCCCTTGGAGGGTGTCTCAGGCATGTCCCTATGAGAGGAGGCCCAGGACACACTGGAGGGACAATGTCTCTCAGCTGGTCCTGGAGCAACTCGGGCTTCCCTCTGAGGACCTGGACCCAGTCCCAGATAAGCAGAAGACTAGGAGTATGAGCGTTGCTCATTATCCTCTGACCTTTAATATTAACAAGGGCTTTTTAAATTACCTCATTTTTCTATTTTACTTATTTCAGACCATTCTCTGTAAATCTGATAGAAGGATTTTTCAAAATGAAATGAAAAAAAAAAGTCAAATAGCCCAATTCAGTCCATCTGACACCACCACAATTTTCAAATTCACCCCAATTTTTTATTTTTATTTTTTAACAATCTTGAAGCCGGTAATTTTTATCGCAGGGCGGAGCTAGATGGGGGGGCCAGGGGTGACCATGGCCACCCTTAGCCAATCATTGACCACCCCTGTGGCCACCCCTACCATTTTTCTTGCCCTCTAATACAGATTATGGCATCAGTAATACTATCATGAGGCATGTTTAAACTTATTAAACATTTAGATTTTTCATATATTAATAGTTACTTTGTTTTAGTTGTAAATATTAACATCATAGTTTATATGTACAGAATTCCTGCTCTTTTAAGACCCTAATTTTGTGTCATATGGGGTAAAGAAAAAATGATGTGTCTCTGCAAGTCATCTAGGAGTTTTCGGTGAAATTACTCCTAGATAAATAATTACTTTAATAATAACTTCAAAATCAATTTAATGTAGGTATTAGTACATGTAATATTAATGTTATGCAGAACAGTTTTTGCAAAAACTAACTACGTAATGACATTGGAAAAGATGTTTGCCCCCCCCAATTTTGACCACTATACCTTTTATTTAGACAGCATGGATGTTTAAATATATGTATATAATTGTAATCAAAAGGAAAGTAGTAGGAAAGTATAGTTTCTCTTTATTTACACTGGTTTTTGACTGGCCACCCCTATTAAAATTTTTTGGCTACGCCTCTGCTTTATTGTGCCCAGATGCCATATGATACTACTTTCATGCATGTGTGAACAAAAAGTAAAACAGGTGAATTTAAGAAGGTTGGCCTTCTATAATGAGGCGGTGCATGCTGCCATCTGCTGGTCAAAGCTGCTCATTGTCTTTATCGTTAAGTTTCATCTAACATGAGGTTTATGGTTTCTTTTCTTTGTATCAGTCCCATCTCTAACGCCTACTACGCACCGAACCAGACAATGAAAAGGTCGCACCCCGTTTAGGTAATAAAGCTGGAAGCGCGTCTGACAGAAAGAGAAAAACAAGTTTGAACACCCACATACTTTCATTTTCACAGGAACGTTTCGTTATGAGTGACTGCATGTGTGTGCCTGTTAGTGTGTGTGTGTGTGAGGGTTTATTCTCTTCCTGCAAAAGCAACTGATTAACAGGCAAGACTCTTCTTTAATTAGCATATTAAATTAGCCTTATCACACCTTTAAGGTGTCTCTTAGGTTTTTTATTTTTATTTTAGGATCCAAATACATTTTCTAAACTAAATTTAATAATTATCAGATACCTATATAGGGTAATTGATGCATTTTTTTTCACTTAGTTTTAAATGCTTTTAAACTGGATTGGCTCGCTTTTATATCAGATATTTCAAGTCACCTTACTTGGAAATGATTATATGTTCTCAAGAGCGCAGTCGGGAAACCGAAAGCATAAAAATAGCTTTAAAACTTTCGCTTTCGCTTGCGGGATCTCACTGAATTTTAGTTGCGACTTCTCCATTTAACATTTCGATGGACTGAGTTGGTTTACATCTGGGCAGCTTCTTTATCCTCCTCTTTTCACATTTTCAGATTTAGATTGAGCGTCCCAGAAAGAAAGCGTAGACATCTGGTTATGTTATCAAAAGTGGTGTAAGAGGTCCTGAAGCCCCTCTGCTGCGGAGCGCTGATCCTGTGAGGCGCAACATGTGCTGAAGATGGATGAAGGAGCCAAGTTGCACCTAAAAGAGTGGCTGATAGCTCAGGTGGAGAGTGGCAAATATGAAGGCCTGTGCTGGGAGGACGAGGAAAAAACCATGTTCAGGATCCCCTGGAAGCATGCAGCCAAGAAAGACTACAAGCAGACGGAGGATGCGGCTCTCTTTAAGGTCAATACCTGATTTATGTTCAACTTTTACCAAAGCCTATGACTTCTTATTGGGAAATGATCAGTGAATGAAACTAAACTTATGATTCTTACCTAAAATTGGCAAATTGATCAATTTAGAACTTTTTTTAAAATTAAAAATATATCTTTTTGTAGATGAATAAGGGCCTTAGACGACCAAACTGCTTTAAATAATGGTAGAATATTTGAATAGCGACAGTTCTTTCTGCTTTCTGTTATAAAATGTTTATACCTGCATCGACAGATTGTTAATGACATAGGTAAAAAACCTATTACACATCAAATCAGAGCTGCTATGATCCTATCTCTGGATAAATAAACGAGTTAATCCTATTAATTTGAGACATTTAATAAAAGCCCATTTATACAATAAACCTAATAAGTCTATTTGATTGAAATAAAAAAAAAACAGTGAGCAAAAAGCTAATTTAACATAGTTATTTGCTTTGGCTTTATGTAAAAAGTTATGTTTACACACCTAATAGTTGTGATGGTAAAATAATTGAGGACAGCTGTAAGATTAAAAGGCATGTTTGAATATATTTAAAACATAGTAATATTGTCAAATTACAGTTTTCCTCTTAAAAATGTCTATACACCTAATATAAAAATTACAAATGTAGATTAAAACTGTGGATTAAAACAACGAACTAAAATGTTTGATCAAAAGTGATGCAGAATTACTGATATACTCTGAAACTTAAGGTTAAAAGTTCATTTGTATTGTGGTGAAGGAATTTGGTTAACATTACAGGCTCTAATGTAAGATTAAAGCAAACAGTTAAATAGATAAACATTTAAAACATTTATTCAAATTTAGACAATAAGCTTATAGTTGAAAATCAGTTAAATTTAATATATCTGTTGCGATTAAGTATTTTAGGTCCTTTAATTTTCTATTTTCTTTACTACCATAAATTTTCCTATTCTTATTTCTCAGGTGTTCCAGCTGCACTGCACCATTAGATTTCATAAATTGTGAAATTAAATGTGTAAAAGCTGAGTTGGCCTTGCGTTTTGCTTCATCCCAGGTCCTATCAAGCAGGACCAAACATTTTGAACATGCAAAGCGTGATAATATTATTTGTCTAAATGCCGCAACAAAGAATTAGTTTTCTATGTTTAGTCTGATGTAAACTAAACATAGAAAATAAACTGTTCTCCTGTGGAATGATTCAAATCAAACTATTATGGTGGAAAAAAACAAAAAAAATTTTTTTTTTTTTCCATTTTAGACAATAGTTTTATGAAAGATTTTTATTTTTCAAAATCTTTATCTTCTATTGTTTTTATTCATGCATAGGCCTGGGCTGTGTATAAAGGCAAATACAAGGAGGGCAGGGATAAAGCTGATCCCACAATGTGGAAGACTCGACTCCGTTGTGCACTTAACAAGAGCACCGATTTCCAGGAGGTTCCTGAACGCAACCAGCTGGACATCACTGAGCCCTATAAGGTCTACCGAGTTGAGCACGATGTCTCCCTATCCAAGCCAGCAGGTAAAACAGGACTAAGCTGATGCAAAATTGGTCTTGTCTCTTTCTTATAATTGTTTTGATATGAATGCATTTGTCTGTTGTTTTGGATCCCATCTGTGGCCTCTTCACAGCTCAGCCAAAACATGCATTCAGCCAGGTCAGACTATCTCCAAGGAGCCCTGGTTTTCCAGAAAAACAGGTAAGATAGTTAATGAACACATACAGCTAAAATACACTGTATTATAAAATATGTCTTGGGGCACTATGAATACTTTTGGTTAGCTTTAGCGTTGTGGTTGATTCGGTGGAGGCTGTGTGTCTCATATCTGCCAGTTTAAAAACAATTTGGGCTTTCACAGGGAGGCTTTATGATATATTAAAATCATTTTAAGAGCAATCACAGTAAAAACAGATAGACTAATTCTTAATTTAGCAGTTGCACTTTATGTGGATTACAGATGTTATTGTAGTGAAGAGTTTTTGGCTATGTAGGGGACAAATATTGTCTTCCTCTTTCAATTCATATTAGATGCTTTAAAGCTTTGGTTTCTGTTTTTGTAGATCCACTGTCAAAATAAACCTTTTCAAGTACTCAAGGAAGACAAACCGTGTGCTGGTAAGGGTCGCATACACAAACATGTCAGAATTTCCTCTGGATTATCACACACATTCACAGATGCCACCCAATATATAAGAAAAACAATTAAAAAAAATTGGTTGTGTTCAGTAACCTAATTCAAAAAGTAAATTTGACGTAGATTAATTGTATACACAATAATGTATTACAACCAGTTTTTGCTTTAAGTTTATTTGTATGTGTATGGCTTCTAATGAAAATCCCAAATTTGCTTTATCTAAAAATTAGAGTGAAACATTAGCCCAATTAAATCAATATTAGGATCATAGTCATTTTCCAGCAGATAATGACATTCCCTCCAAGGAAAGTATGCTAAACATGGGCATCACTTAAGAAGGTAGCTGTTTACATGCTGGTTTACCCAAACCATTAAATGGAGAGTTGGGTGGAATGAAATAGTGTTCTAGAAAAGGGTGTACATACTGAATGGGTAAATGCGCCTTTAGGAGAAGTATAAAACAAAATATAAAACGAAGTTTGGAAATGAATCTAAAAGAGAAGTTAACAAGGTAGAGACTTTTACTGATGTCCAGAGGGCATCCAAAGCTTCTGAAGCTCTGATGACAAACATGCTTGAAAAATAAATCTAGACTGTTTGCTTTATAATACAGCCCCCTTTTTAGATGAAAGTAGAATGTATAATTTTATACAGAAATAATGTCCCAGAGGAAGTGTGAAAGGCTTAGAGGATATCGATAAACAATAGGTCCAGTAAGAGGTTCCCATGTCATCTGAAAGTGTTTGTCTCCAGTTTTATGAAGTCTGTAGAACGCACTTTCATCTAGAAGGTATTCAATAATTATACAGTGTTATTGAAAGGCTGATTTACTTTTTAGCAGGACTTGCAACCTTTCTGCTCTGCTAAAAGAACCAATATCTCATTTAATAAGGATTATCACTACACCAGTATCACGGTACCGCATTGAGCCATCAACCCAACTGACACAAACTTCAGAGCATTGATTGGAAACCCTTATCAGATGAAGGGTGTCAGATCTAAAAATTCTGTTCAGCAATCTTGACTTATTTTTACACCTCAGCAGAGCCACAGTTTCATCCCCCCTATAATAGACTGATATACAGTAGGCAAAAGCAGCCTAGAGCAAGTACCAAAAATCTATGTACTCTACATGTCATACACATGTTTTTCAGCCTGCAAATATTTCTTTATCAAACTCTTTCTTTTTTCTTTTTTGAGTGCTCATGTAATATTCTAATTTACTGAGAAACTCAATGTATGAGGCATAAATTGATATGTATTATTTACCAAGATGGTTCTGCATGTTGGTCCTTTATTCCAGGCTTATTTCTTTTCACTTGTTCAACAAACAAAACAGCTCATGGTTGAATACATCTTTTTACTTGCTGGTGAAGATTCTCAGTCATCCAGGTCATAGCCATTCCAAATCCAGGAAGCTTTTTCAATTTTTGAATTGAAAAAGCTTCCTGGATCCGAAGCGAAACGACTTCAAACTTGGAAAAAAAAATGTCCAGTGGTTTGTTTTTTAACTTTAAAACATTTTTATTTTATCTGTCTATTTGTTCTACATACTGTAAGAAGGATCTATGATTCAGGCTGTGGAGCTTTTATCTTCACAGAGAAACTAAGGAATGGGAGGCAAGAGTTTATGACATCTCAATAATTCATTTTGAATCGAGACTAAGGTCAAGGCAAAAAAAATAAAATAATAATAACAACATCAATGTGTGGAAATTAGAAGCTTGGTCGATGTCAGACGAGGGCTTGGAGTAGCAGAAAAAATCCACGGTACAGAAATCCGAGGCCTCGTGCATAAAAGAGAGCCCAGCTTTCATACTAAAACTTGGCGGTAGGGAAAATCTCAGAACTTCTGGCAAAAAAAAACAAAAAAACAAGACGTATAAAACTGTGTGTAGACTTGTTACTGCACACCTTTTCTTTATACTTTCTTGCTTACAGAAAATAAAACTCCATAACTGCTTTGAACCTCCTCTGCCTGCCTACAAATTAATATGTTAAACAATATAACCAATAATAACTTATTGCAGACATCAGCAACTCATTATTAATAATAATAATAATAATAATTGAATTTTATTGCTCTCTCATTGGAGAAATTTATCTCTGCATTTAACCCATCCAATGGGGAAACGTGGGCTGCCATCGTGGGGCATCTGGGGAGCAATCCAGGGTTAAGGGTCTTGCTCGTAGACCCAGAGTTGGAGTCCGTGGGAGTGGGGCTCTAAATAAAAACCTTAGGATTCCACGCTCTATGCCCTAACCACTAGGCCGCCACCCCCTTTACAGTTTAATTATTAAAGCTGTGATCCTCCATTCAAATCTACTTAAGCACATTTTCTGGTAATATCTGAGCAACATACAGTACATAACGGTGTAGCTGTTTTTGGGTCCTTTCAGGGTGACTGTTAAATAGCCACACTGTCAATTAGAGGGGTAGTTAGATTTTGAACTGGTATTCCTCACCTTCTTTGTGCTGGACAGTCTAAAGCAGTTATAAGTCATCCGTCATTCTCTAACAGCAGGATCTCTGAACACCCCCCAATCTCCCCAATACTTCCACTGCCAATGTTCTCCAGCTGTGCCAAGGCTGCAATCCTTACACAATTTTACACAGCTTTTCATACTGTATATTTGTGGGATTGTCTACAATTTGTCCACCTGATTAGTCATCACATCTGACTTGTTTGAAATTAATATGCACAAATTTGTTTGGGTTAGAATAGGAAAAAATAAATATAGATTTTATGCTCCTCGGCCTACAGATGGATGCATATTTACAGTTTACTTGCAACTGAGGCTGTTTCCGTTATTTCTAGATGTGTTACAGTGCTCTAAAAGGTTGATGTGTTTTAACATCCTTCCAAATTAAATAATCCATGGAGAAACATCAGCTTTAATGCTCCTTCAGTTAAAGTTAACTAAATGATGGTATATTTTATTTTATTTGGAATTTTTTAATGCTTTTTTTATCTAAAACGTTTGTGTGGCTTCCGTACATTTTCACTGTAGTTCAAAGACTTGTATGGATTGCTGCCCACTTTCATGCAGAGATTATTTTTATTCATTTAAAACACACCTTATACATGAGGGCCCCAGTTTTAAGAACGAAAGTAAACCAGGGAAAATAAAAACAAAAAAATGCTGTTTCTAGTGGCATGATCTTTCAAAAAAACCCAGAAAATTTAAAAAGCTGGAAGGCAAATGGTCCAGATCTGCTTTGACTGGAATTGCTGTGATTGTAGCCGTGTAGGTGGGCGTGGAAGAATGGAGAACAGAATGACATCAAGCAATAATAGCTTACTTTCATTTCCTCATAAACTGTACAGGAGGATCACAGGATTATACAGATTAGGTTTTTTAGACATAATATCCTTTTTTTGTGGTATTATAAGGCTGGTTGTATTTCGTGTTTTGCACTTGCCAAACTGGTTTCCTTATTGGTCATACTTGCAAAGCATCAGAAAACACCAAGCTTTCAGAGAGTCAGTGAATGGTTTAAGAACTCTGACATTTTTTCGACATGTAATTTTATTTAATTTTAGTTAAATTTTCCTAATGTGTATTATAATAAATATTATATAGTTATGACTTTTTAGTAAAGGTGTCAATGTACTTATGACAGAAACTAGCTTTGTACTTCTTGTTAAAAGTTTTTCACATATAATAAGCTTATCACTGATAATGAGCCTATTACTGCTCTGTGAAGAGAGAGAGGTTCTTAGATTAGTTCATACTTTTTCAATTTGAAAATGACTGTAATGCAATATCATACATTAGGTTTCACTTTTAGTTTTGTTTGGCTGTTATGATGCAGCATGCACTAGTTTTCAACAAGTCATGCTGTTCGCTTTGAAAGTAGATCATGTTTGATAAACTAAAGATGATATTACACATTCCAGGGAATGAAATAAATGTTTAATAAGGTGGAAAATGTTACAACCTTCAGCTTTAAGAGCCTGGATTTATATCTTTTTTTAGCAACAGCTGAAAAAATACCTGCCTGTTTATTTTATTTTTTTCCCCTTCATTTTAATTTTAAAGGAATTATTTTTTGTCTCAAAGACATTTACTTGTATTCATAAAGGTAAAAAAAATGCAGAAAAAGTACAAAATGACTAGCATCTATTAAAAGCTCTTTTGATTGTTTGGCATAAGAACAAACTAACAAATATCTTGTTTCAAAAAAGTTTCCCTGCGATAATTGTCTCTTTTAAAGTTTTATAGCAGAGATAGATTAATGATATTGCCAAAGTTCATATCATGAAATATGTCGTAATATTTGTCGATATCATATCATCAGGATATCAATAAAAACAAAATAAAAGCCCCAGAAAGTCTGTCCAAAACAGACAAATTGATGGCAATCAATTTTCCATTTGTACTAAACTTTAATATAACTTTTTTAAAATATGTAGTAAAATACAAAGAAACTGCATAAAATATGAAATATCATCAGTGCTGTAATAATAGACTCTAATCTTTATTGAAATAATCGAAATATGATATCACCGTTAATGAATAATATGATATTTTATCATATTTAAGGGCTTTTGCGTTGAATCAATTATGGTCCAATAATTCTTCAGTATAACATCAGCATATCAGTGCACTACAGTAGATTTAATGTAGATCAACTGTTTTCGTTAAACTTTTATCCACAATCAGTAGATGCAATGAAGCTATGTCCTGAATTTAGACATACTTATAAAAATGCCTGTTTCTTGGGTTCTGGTTGTATTTACAGCTGATCTTTTAATTCCTTCAAAGCTTGCATTTTCAGGGCAACAACAATTTCTACTTGTTTATCAATTAGGATAATGCAACTCGTTTAAATATTCTTAGTGCCAAGTCAAGAGGGAATGTTTTCTATTTAAAGGTTTTTTTCATTTTCTTAAGTTCAGTTTTTTTTCTCTAGTGTTTCTTTGAACTACCTCTTAAATCATACAACTTTGGTTAAACATTTTGGGTATCCTATCCTTCCTCAAATCTTTCCTAGCAGTGCTGAAATTCTGATCTACTCCTTCTGACAAAACTGTAGAGTCAAACGCATAAGACTTTGTATGTATTAGTGCACAGCTTTCTAGCTCTGCCCACAAATATTTAATGGTCTGAAATCGGCCTTTTGCATCAAATACACCAAAGCATTAAGTTGGTTTTCCTTAGACCACCTTTATACTAATTATCTATTTGCTCATTTGGCATTTAGAAGAGAAAATTAAGCTCTAGCAGCTTTAATTTCTTTAAGCAGTTGATTTAAAACAACATAATATATTCTCACAATGACATCTGTTTTGGAAACTGGGGTATTTCTTCCATTAGAAAAGAAATATATTAATCTATGAAGAAACATAATACCAGTTTATTTCCTAAGCAGGATGCCTGAATGTACTGATGATGTTTAGTTTTCAAATTTAGAAAGGAATTGTTCAGGGGCACAGAAATCTTCATGATAACCTGTCACTTTTCTTTTGATCTTCTTACAACCTTACAAAAACAAGAGTTTGAGGAGTTGCCATAAAATGCATCCACAGATACGCCCTGGTTTAACTCAGATGTAATGAGCAACCTATCAGCAACCTGCAGAAAAATAGGTCCTTTAGAATCTTTTAGGATTATTTTGCAGCATATAATCTCAATGTAGGAACATTTCTGACTTTGCCCATATATACTATATAGATATATAGATAAAATTACCTCATGTTATTCTGACATTAAGCAAATAAAAATAATTTAGATAATTCTTACTGGCCTAAAACATAAAAAGTTAAGTCTAGAATAGATTTTTTTTGTTTCTTTTTCACGGTCTATTTGAATATTATTTTTAATGCACACATGGACATTCTTGAGTATGTTCTCTGTTTCTGCTTCAGATGACCTAATGAGGGAGCATATGTACTGTGAAGTAACTGAGAAGCAAAATCTAAATCAGCCTCCTCCAATAAGTTTCTTCGGCCCTTCACTAAATATAACTGGTAAGCAAAGTAGATATTTCCATTGAAAAATGACTAGCTCAGCACATATGCATTTTTTTATGTTGATTTTGATCATGCTAACTGCATTCTGTGGGTACAGACTTTCGCATGCAGGTGAAGTTGGTGTACCATGGCCAGACGGTGACGAATCTGACCACCCAGAGCCCAGATGGATGCTTTATCCTCCAGGGGCATGTTCCTTTGGGAAATGAACAGATCTATGGACCCTGCTCTGCCCAGCAGATCTCTTTTCCCTCCCCGGGCTCTGTAGCTCTTCCAGCCAGCTTGGTAGAAGCGATGAACCGCCTTCTTTGTCACCTGGAAAGGGGTGTTTTATTGTGGGTGGCACCAGATGGGGTGTTTATCAAGCGCTTCTGCCAGGGCAGGGTGTACTGGAGTGGTCCCTTGGCCCAGCACTCTGACAAGCCGAACAAACTTGAACGAGAAAAGACCTGCAAGCTTCTGGACATACCCACTTTTCTAAATGGTATTACAGAAGACTCATGCTATAGAATTTCATTAAATTACTATTTCTGTTTAAAACATCAACCTAAGAATATAAGCTAATGTTTCCACAGCACTTCAGAACAGTTTACGAGGAAAGGGGCCACCACCTTCGTACGAGATCGAGCTCTGCTTTGGGGAAGAATTTCCAGACCAAAATGTACCTAAAACCAGGAAGCTCATAATAGCACATGTAAGTTGGACAAGAACACAAAAAGAACACAATCTGAGCAGCAGGAGTAGCCGGTGTACATGCATAGTCTACGGTTGATGCACATCAAAAGCTCCTACAGCAGATTTCGAGCAGCTGGAGCATTGCATGCATCTGAGGTGCTTCGCTAGGCATCCGATGCTTGAGTTGAAAGATCTGAACTTTTGTTTGTGGATGTGCCCAATCAGAGAGAGGCCCATTATGTGCTTATGTCCTGGTAGGATATGCAGGCATTGATGGTAGTTTTTCAAACTGGGCTTTGGTGAGATGAAAATAGATCTGGAAGCTGAAATATGCTCCAGCTGCACATAAGACCTTAATGAAGACAAGCGTTGTAGATGAAGCAGCATACGCTTCTTTGCTGTCACATCGTGTTCAGTGTGAATGGAGAAAAACTTTTACCCCTTTCCTAACAAACCTTCAAACTTTGAATGGAGGTCCAAGATTGTTCTTTTTTTGTTGTTGTTTGTTTTGTTGGTTTTTTTGTCGTCAATCACAGGGCGCATCTTTAAGCCCTTTCTTACAGCTCTATTTTTCTTTCTCTGAAATAATCAATTTTCTTGGTAGTTTGTTTGGGATTATTGTCTATTGGCTCAATCTCCAGATGATCCGTCAGGTGTAGATGGGGATACACTGAGGTTACATTGCAAACTCCAAGTCTTTGAGACCCTCAAAAAAGTAGTTCTTGGTTCTTGCAAACTGATTTCTTTTACTCTTTCAAAAACATTTCATCGAGTTCCTGGTTGTGGCCAATTTATATAGAATAGAATTCAACTTTATTTTCATTACAAGGTCACAAATACAAAGTGACAAAATGAACTCTGCATTTAAACCATTCCCTTGGGGAGCAGTGGGCTGCCTTTTTGCGGCACATGGCGAGCAGTGTGGGGTTAAGGGTCTTCCTCACAGACTTAGAGTGGCAGTCTATGGGAGTGGGGCTTGAACTCATAACCTCTGGGACCCAAGTGCAATTCCCAAACCACTAGGCCGCCACTCCCCCATATAATGTATATGTAGAAAAATGTTCTTTCAACTGCCAGATTATCCTCCCAAAGTTCACTGGAACACAGCAAAGTTTAGAAAAATTGCTATAGTTACTTCCAGGGGTTTGTTTCAAAGTGATAATGTTTAAAACGTTTTATCATTTTATAAGACAATCAAGGACTACAGTTGATATTTGGCACTGATAGGAAGCGGGATAGAGTTCTAGAGTTTTAGATTTCAGTCGTTTTCATGGCTTATTTGTTGTATTTGTATGTATATATAACTATATATATATATATATATAGATAGGTAGGGCGGTAGGTAGATCCATGATTTTTCAGAAACTTAGTCTTCATTACATGGTTGGGTATTTTATTTTCTTGTAATGTGCTACTGATAAGAACCTCTTTTTTGGCCAGTAGATGTCCTTACAGTCACAGTCTTTGAGTGTTTCTCTGTTTACTTGTTTGCCAGGTTGTTCCCCTGTTTGCTGTGGAACTGTTACGGAGACTGGGACAAGCTGAGGAAAAACATCAGAAAGCTACCCTCAGTGCAGAAGAAAATATGTCAGAAGACTGAGAGATCCACCTTATTCCTGACTAGATATGGACAGTACACAGTTGAACTTTATCTCCATCCTTGTAATCACCAACATCAATAATACAACATTACTATCATTGAAGAAGATTACATATATATATATATATATATATATAGCAGCGGCTGTAATTTTTGCTCAAAGCTTGCTTATAACCAACTTATAATGTGAATGTTTTTCTCCCTCCCTTTTTGAAGTTAAACTCATAAAATATGATAATTTAATTTTCTCCTACTAGAACAAATATGCAGAATAAATTGACAAAGGGGATTAAATCTATAAAGCTTTTTCTTCATTTATTTCTAGCGAACATCATATATAACAGATCCACAATTTTTTAAAAATATACATTTTTGTAGCTGTAACATTTAAAAATAAAATAAAATAACAAGTCATATTTTTCTCTTTTAAAATAAAAAAGAAAACTAACTAAAGTGAAAGAGAGTGCTGAATCAGATGATTTACCCGTATCTGAGTTTAAAATACTTTCATCATTTTTCCCTGCCTTTGAACATATACAGTACATTAAAAAAATGAGACGGAAGCGTACAGTACACAAAGGGGTCAAGAGCATTCACAAAGCATCATGTTCCAACGTGTTATTAGCACCATTACTCTTCAGCCATTCTGCACCTTTTTTACTCCTTCCATCATTCAGAATTTAATGGAAAAACACCATGAGTGTCGAGGCTTTGTGGCACAGACCTGTCTGTGTGGGTGGGATTGTCTGTTACGCAGTTTTCATTAGTGTTCTCCCTTTCTCAGAGATAATGTTAAGAACATATTGGACAGTAATGCTTTAATGAACAACCATTTAAAATGACTCCCAGTGAGGAGAATTAGAAAAAAAGGCGAAGATTTGCTCATACATTCACCTTGCCTGCCCAGGCCGGTGTGAAGACATCGGCTCAGAAGCAAGAAACAAAAACACTAGATAATAAAAAAACTGCATTGCAAGATTGACAGAAATTGCATTAAATCTTTTTAGCATAATTACTGTATATAACATCTGTAATGTTTATATATATATATATAGATATATATCTATATAGATATATATCTGCAATTCCTCAATAACGTTTGCTTTCATAACACTGATTGTAAATACCCTGCAGTAGTTACTTTCATTGAGTTGCTGCGTTGGACAACCATAACAAAAACAGAGTGAACACAGACAGGTGCTTGATTGTCTCATTAAATGTCTTCAGTGTCTTTGTACAGTCATTGAGTTATCTTTTAGCTCCTGCTCCATCTCTGAGTCAGTTTAACCCGTCACCAATTCATACACTAATTTAGAGCCTACACATTATTTCATCCATTTCTGCTTCTGGTTTGTAAATCTTGAAAAAAAAAAGTTCATACTTTCTTATGAACTTATCTAATGCCATGGCCATTTATTTTATTGGTTATACGGTACGTTTTTGGGCAATTATGGAGATATGCTAAAAATGGCAAATTCTTATGTAAATCTGCCTAGTACCTGAAAGTTAAGTGATAGGCTCTGGGTTTATTTATTTCCTCAACTGCCATTAGGTCAGTTTGAAAAAACAAAATCATAGATTATGTCCTTTTGACAAGCTTAAATGCCTTTAGGTGACCTACTGCTTACAAATATTGTTTATTTGAGTCATTCAAATACAGTCCCTTTGGGAATACCTTGGGTAAAATTGGGTATTATTTTAAAACGGTGATAAAAAGGATGTTTTGTTTTTGCAAACTGATAGATGGCCACTTTAAAGTATAATTTTATGCAAATTAAATAGAAAATTGCCAACACTACAAGGTACCAAATGGTAAAGAATATTATTGACCTGCACACTGCTAGTCTTCTTAGGAAATGGGAATTAAAGGGGGAGAAAAGAGAAGAAATAAATTTGATAAGGAAAGGGAAATAAATGAGAAGGGCCAACAGTGGCTACAGATTGATGGACTTGACGAATCACTTGTGTTTGTGTCTTCTTTTCTTGTGCATACCTTCCCTGCAACCCTGCCTTGAGGTCTCTCCATTGTTTGTCTTGATGGGTGCAACAGAGACTAGGAGGGTGTGTATATGCTTGTGTATGTTTATAAGTGTGTCCATGTGCAAGTTTCTACTGCCACTTCATTAACTTAGAGCCATGAGGTAAATCCAGGAGGCTTTTATCAGTTCTGGCTGAGGAAAGTGTGTCCGGTGCAGACCAACGACGCTTACGAGGCCGTTGCTGCTCCTTAGCAGGATTGTCTGCAGCCTGTTGGCAAGAAGGGCCTGGTGTTGAAAGGGGTGGCTGGGAAGGAAGAGGAGGAGGTGGTGGTGGGGGTGGCATCTCTTCCCTGCGCAAGCTGCTTGACTCTCTTGGGAGAAGTTGTGTGCGATGGGCCCTAGAGCTAGTACGACTGGGTGTTCGCTGAGTTTGGGTGGGCATTGGAGTTAGTGCCAGGCAAACATCACCCTCACTAAGCTGACGGCAGGGCAGGCCATACAGCTGTGCAGTTCTCTGAGGAGAACAGGATGACCAACCCTGGTCTCGCACAAAGAAGGGGTACTCCACCAAGACCTGCAGTAACTCCTGAATAGAACAAAAACAGGAATTCATTGTTAGTGAGATATTATTTAATGTGACAACTATTCATCTCTATAAAAGAAGCATATGATCCCAGTGAGTGCTCACCTGAGAGTTGCGATCAGTGAGGTGAACCTGAAGGTGACTGAAACCCTGTGTACTGCTGGGAGAAATCACAAGAACAGTGCAGGTACTGAGGTGGAACTCTGGGGATGTATCAGCACTCTTCAGAAAGTCTTCAGTCCTCAGCTCCTCAATGCGTTTTAACCGCCCACTGGCCAGTTCAATAAGAGACCCCTTGGTAAAATGAGGTAGGAGTGCAGAGGGAGATTGATGAGGAGCTGGAGACAAAGTCTGAGGAGTGGAAGGAGAAAAATATCTCCCTCTGTCTCTGTTACATCGACTTTCATGCTCAATGTCTCTTTCTTGGTCTTTGTGGTGTTGTAATGGTTTTTCTTTTACTTTACCCCTGTCCCTCTGGACCACCTTGTCTCTTTCAGGGTCTCTGACCCAATCTCTTTGCGGCCTGTCATGGCTGTTAGGCAGACTCAGGGGTGACTGTGGTGAATTTCTTAGGGTGTGCTGACTAGGACCAGGCTCGCTATGCAGACTGTATGAAAGTGTTCCTGAGGAGCTAGAGAGGGGGTAGGTCTTGGTATAAAGGCTTGGATTGTTGACTGTTCCTAAGGAGTAATATATTTGTGTCTCAGTAGGTGTAGCTCCCATATGGTCCAGGAGCCCACCTCTTCCTGCCCTTGGGTCTGGTCCAAGGCTGTGTGGACTAGTAGGGAGTGATGTGGAGCTGGTCTTCCCAGACTGATGTGTTTCCTGCAGTGAGGAATGTGGATCTGGGCTTGTTTGTGGTTGAGAGTCTGACAAAAACACTCCTGAAGAATGAACAGGGGAGGATAGTTCCTCCAGTTGTCTACGTCCTCCATTTGCATGCAAGGTATAAGGACTGACCTCCATCCTAGATCTGCTGCTATTATTCCCATACTCTCCAGTGAGCAGAGGTCTGGAAGATGAGGCAGTCCTGCTGCCTGGCCCATCCAAACCATTTGGCCTCTTGCTTATGCACCTAGTTCTTGCCTCAACTAAGCTGGGGTCTTGGGGATACAAAGAATGAGGGTTAAACAGATATGAAGGGGAAAAGAGAGAGGGGCTATAATCCCGACGACCAGTATTAATGTAGGACCACATCTCTCTTGTAGTAGCTGGAAAAGGGGTCTTAAATGAGGAAGAAGATGGGGGCATAGACAAGGTTCCCTCCCCTCTGACCCACCTGGAATGATGGGGCAAAGGTGGTGTGAGTGGATCATCTCTCCAGGCAGGAGACCCTGAGGTCCTTCTGTCGCTGACCTGACCTGGGAAAAGCGGAAGAGAAATGGTTGAAGAGTAGTTCAGTGGCCATGGTAATGGAACATGGAGGCCTGGTGCAGGAGGGCTGTGAAGGACATGGGGGTTTGGGTTAGACAGAACTCTGTCCCGGTCACTGGTTTCCCTGCCTCCCTCCCCTCTATTAGTGCTATGCCGGCTCCTGAAGGGCACAGGTGGCTTAAAGTCATCCAGAGGAACTTGGTGTTCTGCAGATCCTTGTCGAGACTCCCTCTTTTTAGGAGGGAGGCGCTCTTTGCTGCGATCAGGGCTTGGATTCATGGGTGGGCTCCAGCAGCAGTGGGGGCCCCCTGTGCGTCAGTGTAGGCTAGGTCACATGGGCCTCACGAGAAAATGAGGGGTGCACACAGAGGGGAAGGCAAATACACAGCATCACTATTGGATTGCTGTCGCTGCTCTTGCACTGAAGCACCACTCACCTAGAGAAGAGCAAAAAAGAAAGAGACAGAAGTAGGAGAGATTAAGTGTGAACATTGAGAAAGAACAGTCTGTTAGGTCCTGGCATCAGTTGTAGTTAAGACTTAGCTGTCAGTATGGTCAGACATACAAACAAACATTCAGCTGTACCAGACAGATGGAGCGAAATAACTCACTCTTTCTTCCAAACTACTTTGAAGAGGTTAGAAACTTGTAGTTTTCTTATGGTTGTTGCTAATTAGTCATTACCTACTATGTCCAGTGCGGTGCAAATGAAACTACCCATCTTGCTTATTTCATTCAAACACATTACTCCCACAAGCGAGCTAAAAATACATTTAGCAGCCAGTGAAGTTCAGAGACAGAACTCTACATATGTGCAAAAACACATGCAGGCCTGACAGCAGGAGTTTTCATCTCTGACTGTAGGGGAATGATTGGAATATTTAGAAATGCTTTTGAACCACTTTCACAATCCACTCCCACGACACCCTCGGGTGCTCTTTGTATTCTACATAAGCTTACTACCAACACCCCCTCAACTCTTCACTTTCCAATGCACATATGGACAATAAAAGACAAATACTCCCTCTAGCAGCTGTACACACTCACCCATTGATAGACATAGCTTGTCATTGCCCTCCAAAACCTGACACAATCACTGTTGATATTGCCATGGGATAGGTGTCTTTGCATATTAAACAGATGCTAAAGCAGGGGTTTGGATATGTGTCACTGCATGTGTTTGTTTTGCAGACATGTTTTCTATTGTTGATCTGTAAAAAATTGTCATTATCATTTTTATTTGTTTATTGTTTTTGGAAAAAATATGTGAATGTCTTTGTATTTGAGCCCTCAAATGTGTCAGAGATTTTTCCAGCCTCACTTCATTCAGTGAGAAGTGCGGGGGTGCTCCACTAATTCTTCCTTTAGTGTTTTAAAAGAGCCCTTTTGAAATGATGGCTGCAGGTCCAGCCGTTCTCTCCTCCAACATGTCACTCCTCCAGCTGCCGGCCACTCAAGCCCCACACTCACCCGCTAGTCTGTCAACTGCTAACCAACTCCCTACCGTCTCACCATCCGTCACACTGTCTCCATGGCAACTGTGTCCCCACATATGCACACACTCATATACATCCAGCTGGTTAGAGAGGTTAGACAAGGATACTTTTCGGAGAGGCGGGTGTGCTGCTGCACATCAAGAGACTTGGTCTAAAAACAGACCAAGTGTAACAGGCTGCTAGGGCATCTTATTGGAAACCAATAAAGGGGTGGGGAGAGCTCTCGACTGTTATAAACAATAAAAATGTAATGATGTATGCTTGTCACCTCAAAAAAAATGCAGCAAGCATTAAAGTAATGCACACCCGATAAGAAATGGATGTAGCAGGTTTGTTGCTTTTCATATTCTTTTTACTGAGGACTCATTCTGAAATGGCTTCAAAGTTTTTTTTCTCCTAAATTTCAGACTAAATACAAGATTTAGAAAATATAGTTAATTTACTATGTAATAACTCATATGCATTACATATTTATTTACTTTAAAACATTTATTTATCACTCTTTCTTGATGTATATCTCCATGCTGGTAGCAGTCCATCTTTCAGACCATATAATATTTCATAAATGGTTTGATATGCCGGAGGGAATGTAAAGCTCGGACAAATTATCCAACCATTACAGTGTTTTTGGAGATTTGGAGTTCACCCCAACAGCCTTGTTAAACTCAGCAGATGTTTGTAACCCAACCCATACCTTAAGGCACACTTAGAAATGGGGTCTGATGAAGGATCAGAGTAAACTTGGCAAAAATAAAAAGTAAAAAAAAATCATGTGTTACATATTTCTATTAGGGGGTCAGCAAGCAAACATACTAATTGCTAGAAATGCACTCTCATCTTTTTTGCTGTTTTTCCAACTACAGGATACCAATATATTTTATCAAATAAAAGAGAATTAGCTTTTACATTTATGTTGGCATATCTTATAGATTTTAAGACACAGAACATATTTAATTGCTTCATACAGGAACAGCTAAACTCATGCATACCACAAAGAAAAGTCAGGGAGTCTTGGAGTAACTTTGCTTAAGTGTGTCGCTGAAAATGCGGGACTGTCTCAAAATCAGTTTTTCCACTATTATTTTCTATCAGCCTTATGCAGCAAAAAAAAGACCAGATGCAATTCAGATATAAACACTGACTAAACTAAATCTTTCAAATTATTACCAGCGACTTTTAAAGACAAAGACAGGGACTTTTATATTTATTTTTCTACATGGTTGTTTTATTTTTAGCATTTCAGTAGAAGATTGTTTTTAAAACAATGATTAAAAACACCCTGTACGTTACGATAAAATGTCATTTCAATATGCTTTGCTCAGAAAACAACAGTTTAAAAAGAAAAATGAATTGGAAAAAAATATCCGTTTCACTTTTAGGTTACATTTCAAAACATAAAAAAGAGATAATTGAGAGATAATTATAACTGTAATTCTAGTGCAATCAATTGATAACAAATATGATAAACATTTTATTTTATCAACATTTTACGTTGTGACTGATTTAAAAAATATCGCACAAATAAAAAATTATATGTTTTACTATAAGATTTGATATTATAAGAGTTGGAAAAAAAACTCTAAGTAATAACATTAAAGAATGAACTGGTCAAAATAATTTATCCAAATTTAAATGTTACCACTAGATTGATAATGATGTCCGGAATAGAGATTTCTTAATCAATAATGAAAATCAGGTTTTCAAGTTTGTCCTCAGATGACTCTTACACCCGCATCAGCAAAAAAAACTTAATATGAATTTACAAAAAGAGCACAGCAAAACAAAGAGTACAATTGTGCATGTGGAGGAGTTTGAAAAGAAATATCTCCTAACGAATACTCCTACACTGTGCAGACAAACACACTAAGCTGAAGTTTAACTGAAGCTACTGTTGTTTTACAGAAACATTTAAAAGGAAAAGAGTGCTCAAATGTGCATCATAATGTTACATATTCCTTCATGCAACCTATCTTAAAAGGATGAAAAGTAAATGAAATAAATGTTATTATGTTATCGGAATATTAAATTGTTTAAAAAAAAAAAGAAAAAAAATCATGCATATTTCTGCATCAGTCTACATCATCCCGCCTTTTCTCTTCATGCATCTAATGAGAATTGAGAAACATGCATCCAGAGTTACGACTGCAAACCTCAGAGAAGTGCGATGTTTGAATTGTTGCTCATGTAAAACCTGAAATATTTAGTCATTCGCATTAAAAGTAGGAGAAAAGCAAAGAACAGATCTAAGCCAAAAGAAATTGGGTTAAAACAAGCAGCTGGATGAAGTTGGCAACTGGTTTGATGTAAGACTGACCTTGGTACCGGGGTGAGGAGATGTCCCAGAGCTGGCACTCATTCATATTCTAGTCCTCCCAGGGGGGTCAGCCCACCTCCCAGCTCCTTACTGTTTCACAGTGCTTCCTTCACAGCGCTGCCACGGGTCCCAAGACCCGCTGATATCAGCAGCGTGCAGCTACGCCCTGCCTCTGATCTCTGAGCAAGTGAAATAACACCAGCAAGCCCACCAAACTGAAGGGAAAAACTGAGAGTCTGCTATCCGTCTCTGTGTCTGTTGTGCTTGTGAGCATTTGTGTGTCAAGAGAATGTGTGTGTGTACTTGTGTGTGCAAAGGGCTGAGGAAATGAGTAATATCTAGCAGTGAGAAACATGTCTGCTATGCAGAGCCACACAGGCAGACCAGTTGCTGCTGCCGCCCACTTGCTTTAATCACTGTGAGGGATACAAACATGCATACGCACATATACAGACACTCACATCTATGCACAGTTAAGAATGCATATTACCGATCTCCTTGCAAACTCTCTTTCTTCTAACATTTTCTCTTATCAAATACAATAATTTTTTGCTTATCAGTACGTGAAAGAGCAATAAAATCACGAATGTATGTCTGTAATGACATTTACCAAAGACATGCTGACACATAGAAGAAGAAAAGGGATGGAGGGGAGGCAGAAAAACTGTTGATGAGACAGGGAGGGACGTGGTAGGAGGCTCATCCTACACACACTCTCAGACTTAGGCTTTTGCTGCTGCCTCTGACTCAAAACTAAACCTCACATCCATCAAGAACACACAAACATGCAGAAAAGCACACACACACTCGCCGTCACACACAAATGCACTCATCTGAATTTGTGTCCTTTGTTCTCATCAAAGCACTTTGTGACAAACCTGCTTGTTAAGAGAGCTTTTATGAATACATTTGATTTGACTTTATATACTTGCACAGACATACGCACACAGATGCACACATTGAAACAAGTTCAGACACACACAGCAGCGCTACAGGGGAGCTCTGAATGATTTGCTTCAGTGATTCAGTCAGTACGAGTGGAGTGTGATGGTATGGCTGCCTCGCCTTATTAATACTCCATTGGTGAGTGTAGCATTCATTCAAAGAACAGAAACAATCAAGAGACATGTAAGGACAGAAAACAAACCCAGATAAAGGTTTAGTCCTGTGTTTTGTTTTTTTTTTAATCTAAAATGCCGAACCTATCACAGGCTTTTACCCACATGCAAAATGTTAAACTCACCTAACATCTCAACCTCATTCAGACAGAAGGGTTAATCAGAAATGGAGGTGTGAAAACAAAATTCAACTGGAAGCCCACGTCGAAACGTCCTCACTGGGAGGTGACAACTGCCAAAAACATCACCTCTGACATTTTACAGAATGTTACTTTTATTTTCAAAGCAAATGCTGACTGAAGATGATAGACACCAAGGTTGTGTGGGCACGGCTGCTGTCTGCTCCAGCAAATGTTTCATGTGGGCAGAAATACAAATGAAGAATTTTGGAACATCCTGGATGTAGGGCCAAACAGCTGCAGAGCCAAATGAAAATGAAATCATCTGAATGCTATACAATTGTTGAAACTCATATATAAAAAAGACAGTAATAATTGCACTAAATGTAT